TGCCTAAGTGAGCCTAGGTTACAACAGGTGCTCTGGAAAATAAGTTTCCCTCCTCCTCTTTCTTTCTTCCTTTCCTTGGGATGGATGGAAGTATGGAGGCCAAAGAGGCTGCATATGGAAGAGAGAAGTTTGAGAAAGTTGAGTGTTTCACACTTAAGAAGATGTTGGATAATCATTTGTCTGAAGTGGTGTAGGGTTTCCTGCCTAAGCAGGGGGTTGAACTAGAAGACCTCCAAGGTCTCTTCCAACTCTGTCATTCTATTCTATTCTATTCTATTTCTATTCTATTCTATTCTATTCTACTCTACTCTACTCTACTCTACTCTACTCTACTCTACTCTACTCTACTCTACTCTACTCTACTCTACTCTCTCCTCTCCTCTCCTCTCCTCTCCTCTCCTCTCCTCTCCTCTCCTCTCCTCTCCTATTCACTTCCTGGGCAATTCATCCCTAAAGAAGGGCAAGGACATCATCCTTCATTCAGGATAAATTCTCCCAGATTCTCTTCCCCTTTGGAAGGAAATCTAGGGTAATAATTTCTCTTTATCGAATGAGATAACAATCAGGAAGGGGGGGGGAGTCAAAGAAATGCCTTTTCCTGCCACTAATTTTAATTCCCACCCCTACCCCCTCATCCTGTGCAGGGGACGAAATGCAATGTTGAAAGTGCCAGTGCTAATTCTGAACTGAATTTTTCCACAACGGTGATATGTATTTTAGATGCAGGAAATTCAAAACATTTTCATTCAGGGAATCTTTGATTGCCAAGCTGGTGCATTAAGACTTACCGATACATGTACTTATAATGATAAATCGCATGAATGGAAGAGTCAATGGTTTATCTACCTGGAATGATGTGCCTTGCTATTCATTATTGTTGTAATTATTGATGTTGGGACTTAACGTTGCATGGATATTTATTTTTTGCTGGTACCGTTGTCTATATAGCTTTTGGACTGTATCAGCATTAAACTTTCACAATTAAGGAAGAGTGTTGATGCTTTTGAACTCTGATGTTGGTGAAGACTCCTGAGAGCACCCTGGATGTCCAAGAAGACAAATTAGAATAGAATAACAGAGTTGGAAGGGACCTTGGAGGTCTTCTAGTCCAACTCCCTGCTCAGGCAGGAAACCCTACAACAGAGATGGCTAACCTTTTTGCCGTCGCGTGCCAAAAGCGGGGGGAGAGCGTGTGCGTGGGCCCACACCCATAACTCAATGTGCCACGCCCCTGCACATGCATGTGTGACCCCTTCGCACTCCCCCCCGCTTTTGGCATGCGATGGGACTGTGGGCCCGGTAGGCCTGTTTTTCACCCTCCCCAGGCTCCAGAGGCTTTCTAAGAGCCTGGGGAGGGTGAAAACAGCCTTCCCACCTCCCCCGGAGGCCCTCTGGAGGCCAGAAACAGCCCATTTCCCCGACTTCCTGTGGGCCCGGAAGGCCTGAAAATTAGATGGCGCTGGAGTTGAGCTAGGGCACTGTTCACGTGCCCACAGATATGGCTCCGTGCCATAGGTTCGCCATCATGCCCTACACAGTTTCAGACAAATGGTTGTCCAATTTCTTCTTAAAAACTTTCCAGTGTTGGAGCATTCACAACTTCTGGAGGCAAGTTGTTCCACTGATTAATTGTTCTCACTGCCAGGAAATTTCTCCTTAGTTCTAGGTTGCTTCTCTCCTGGATTAGTTTCCACCCATTGCTTCTTGTCCTGCCTTCAGGTGCTTTGGAGAATAGCTTGACTCCCTCTTCTTTGGGGCAGCCCCTGAGATATTGGAAGACTGCTATCATGTCTCCCCATGTCCTTCTTTTCATTAAACTAGACACACCCAGTTCCTGCAACCGTTCTTCATATGTTTTAGCCTCCAGTCCCCTAATCCTCTTTGTGGCTCTTCTCTTCTCTTTCTAGAGTGACTGATCACTGAACAAAGCAATCCAGAATTCTCACTCAAGACACAAATGACCAGGCTCAAATTATCGGAATCGGTTTCAGTAGCAATGTGTGTAATGTTGAAAGACCTGGTTAAGGTCTCCATCGGCATGGAGAAAATCTATTTATCCAACTGCTAAGAACCAACACTCACCAATTACGGGTAGTTCTTGACTTACGACCACAGCTGAGATCAACATTTCCATGGCTAAACATTGCTCTCAGTTGTTATGTGAGTTTTGCCCCATGTTATGACCTTTTCTTGCCACAGTTGTTAAGTGAATCTCTGCCTTTTGGCAGCTCTGCGTGCCCGTGCATCAAGAAGAGCCTCCTCCTCTTCTTCCTCTTCACTTAAGGGAGCTTCTGGAGGTTCTGAAGGCCCTGGCTGAATCCCCACTTCTGGCACCACATCTTCTCCAGCCTCCTCACTGTCCAACTCGCGCGCCAGCTGTACAGGCTGCTGGAGCAGCACACCAGCCTCCTCGCTGTCGGAATCAGCTACTAGCTGCACAGGCTGCTGACGGGCCACAACACCCAGCAGGCAAGGGCCAGTCTTCATTTGCCCTCTGATCTAACAGCAGCAGCTGCAAGTGTCTCCATCCCAGATAGCTTCATGCATGGTGAAGAAGTTTCCATTTTAAATGAGCCAACATTTTTTCACATGGACCTTTGAGTGTGCAATCCGGGGAGATGGGTGAAGTCCAAGAGATCTGAAGAAAGTAAGACACTAGGTGGAGGAAGGTTGGTGTGCAGGTAACTACGAACCAGAGCAGCAATTAATGGTGTTGGACCTCTGATGCAGGGGTGAAATTCAGCAGGTTCTGGAGAGCCGGTAGTGGACATTTTGAGTAGTTCGGAGAACTGGCAAATACCACCTCTGGCTGGCCACAGAGTGGGGAGAGAATGGGGATTTTGCAGTATCCTTCCCCTAGGAGTGGGGAGGGAATGGAGATTTTGCAATATCCTTCCCCCAGGAGTGGGGAGGGAATGGAGAGTTTGCAGTATCCTTCCCCTGCCACACCCACCAAGCCACGCCCACAGAACCGGTAGTAAAAAAAATTGAATTCCACCATTGCTCTGAGGGTATCTACAGGGTGTTTCATGGGTTTGCAGAGAACAACTATGAGATGTGACTTGATAAACTCCATTGATTGAAATTAAGTGTATCAAACGGGAGTCACTCTAAGCGTTGACAGTTCCCCCCCCCCATGGCTTCTCCTGCTTGAGCAAGGGGTTGGGCTAGAAGACCTCCAAGGTCCCTTCTAACTCTTTGTTATTCTACCTTCCAACCATGTGTCATCTTCTGATCTTATTGGGATGCGGGAGGAACAGCTAATGCTGATCTTTGGACTTTGCTGCCCTCTGCTGTTGACGCGTGTTCAGTTCAACCTACTTGTGGCTTGGCAGCTCAACTTGAGTTAAGTCTCGTTTACAAAATGTATATTGTACCTAAAGACTGTACATGTTTTATGTCAGGGTCGTGTTTCAAAACCCATCGCTACCGGTTCGCTCGTGGGTGCGCGTGCTTTCGTGCGCACGCGTGCGACACTTCTGCACATGCGCAGAAGCATCCGGGTGGGTGGGCGGAGCCTCCCGCCGCCGCTACAGATTCGCCCGAACTGGGGCGAACTGGCAGCAACCCACCGTTTTATGTGTCTAATGTATCAGATTCCACCACTACCCCACATACACACACACTTTGTCTCTCATTTTTATGTTTTTGCTGTAGAAGAGCATGGATGTAGCCAACTCAAGTATTACAGCCCCTGAATAGTGAAATGCTTCTTGATGATGTTAAAACTCTTAATATGTGGTGTTTTAAAGTCTCCTTTTCCCACTTCCATTTACTCTGGAGTAGAGCAGGCAATACATACAGTTGAGAAGTCTGGAGAACTGAAGGGATTATCTCCACTTTTGAACATCCCGCAAAATATTGATGGGAGAACGGAAAATACCGACTTGACTTAATCCAACTTGCTAAGGCTAGAAGGACCGCTGGACGCATTTCGTGTTCAAATGAGGGACATCAGTTTCACATAAAACAACAGAACCAGCTGAGTTCTTAAATATACCTAACCACAAACTTCCCATGTTTTAGCCAAGTTTACTATGCTGAGCAAATTCAGCTCGGTAGCCTTCCAGATGTGTTGGTTGAAACCAACGTTTTCTAATCTTGGCAACTTTCAAGATGGGGGGGGGACTTCGACTCCCAGAATTCTGACTGGCTGGGTGTTCTGCCCCACCTACAGACCCCAAAGAACTTTTGGCCGCTCTGCGCACCCGTGCATCGAGAAGAGGCTCCTCCTCTTCTTCCTCTTCACTGATGGAAGCTTCTGGAGGTTCTGAAAGCCCTGGCTGAATCCCCTCCTCTGGCACCACATCTTCTCCAGCCTCCTCATTGTCCGACTTGAGTGTCAGCTGCACAGGCTGCTGGCGCAGCACCACACCAGCCTCCTCACTGTCGGAATCAGTTACTAGCTGCACAGGCCGCTGACGGGCCACAACACTGGGGAATTCTGGGAGTTGAAGTCCACATAGTGTAAAGTCAGCAAGGTTGAGCAATGCTCTTGGCTGTGAGGATTAAAGGCAATGGAAATTGTAATTGCGCATCTCCCATACACCCCGGTGGAGAAAAATTATGTAAACGTAACAGGGGTGAAATGCTACCGGTTCGCTCCGGTTCAGGCGAATCAGTAGTTTAAAAAAGCTACTGGTTCGTCTGAACTGGTATTTCCGACGGATCAGCTGTGCTGCAGTTTATATTCGCTAGAAAGCAGGAAATCCTGTTTTCTAGCGAAGCTAAATTGCGTGGCACAGCTGTTCCCGCCCCTCGCTGTTCTACTTAGCTAGTCAAGTCTTGTTTTTCCACGCAAAGTGCACATTTGGTGTACACTGTGCATGCATGCGCAGCGTGCTTTTGGTGTGTGCTGTGCATGTGCACATGTGTGCTTTTGGCGTGCACTGTGGGCAGTGAACTGGTGGCGATCCGCGGAGGATTTCCCCACTGAGACGTTCCCTTTTCCCTCTTTCAACATCTGCATCCCCCACAAATGTGTCGAGCAAGGCAAGCCATTTTTTTAAAAAAAACCCAACTTTTTAATTCTTATTTGGTCCTTTGGAACCTGAGCTTGAAAACCACTCATGGGGATAATTCATATTATACAGGGAACTGATTACAGATTTGATTTACAATTGATAAAATATCCTATGCTTTTTTTTTCTTTTAAGAGGTGCACAATTATTTACACGATTAAAAATTATTCACAGCTCAGTTGAGAGTGAACCGAAAGACACACACGCACATACATTAGACACGGAAAGAAAGGAAAAAAAAGGAAAAAAAAAAGATTCCAGAAAGCAGAAATGGCTGACGTAATTTTCGGACGGAATCCCAAACAAATCAACGAGGAAAAACTGTTGGCCGTTTCTGTTGGCCGCCGGGACAAATGAAAAGCAGGCAGGATGGAAGTTGACTTGGGAGCCAACGTGAAAGAGGGCGAAGGAGCGGAAGAAACAAACAAGCAGGGAAGAGGAAATTAAGCTTCCTTTTCCGCTGCTACCTGAAATATGGGTGAGGAATAAATGTTACAGGTAGGAAGTATGACAAAAGATTGGCAATGCCGTATTAGCCCTCAGTTCAGGCATACCCTGTCCTTCTGGAGGTTTTCCATGCGATGTTGATGCAGCCATGTCCTACACTTCAAAGCCCTTCTCCCTCCCTCCCTCCCTCCCTCCTCCTGAGAGTTTATGGCGTATTTGCAAACAAATCTGTTTTGACATCAGCGTGAATTGCTAAACATTCCTACCCACCACCCCACCCCCTGCTCAAGGTTCTCCGAGAAGAAGAATGGCTATTAAAACACATGGAAGCTGTCTTGAGCTCTCCACGAAGAGAGAGAGAGAGAGAAAGGAGTAATAATCCCCAGGTCAAGTCCTTCCTCATCGTCTTCTTTTAACGACCCCATAATCCCTTGCATCGGAGTGGAGTCTTGGGCAACTGAATGGAGCTGAGTGTTTTTACTGGCCGGATGCCCTTCCTGTTGCCAATGCGGAGTTCTATTCAGCAGAATATATTCTCAGTGTGCCCAGAGAGAGAAATAAATATCTGCCTCTACCTTGGATCGAACTCCCAGCCTCCCGATTGTGAGGCGAGAGCTCCACCTCTAGGCCATTGCACCACTCAGGTCAAGTCCTTCCTGCAGCCAGGAATTGTCAGTTCAACCAAACTCTCGACGTCAAAACTTTGGAAGGATCGGGTTGCTGGCCGTGACCCTTTGGATGGACAGGTGAGCAAAACCAGCTGGTCAAGATTTCCTAGAAAGGTGTTTCATCACCTTGCCCTACTCCACCTGTTCCCAATGCACCTCCCCAGCCCGTGGCCACCTGCCACTAAAGGCCACTAAACTACATTTTCCCCAAAGCAAATGCTGGCTTTTTTTCTGAACAGAGCTGTCACTTTTGCTCTAGAAGGATGTCCACATCTTTTGTCATCTCTGTGGCCAAAAAGTTTCCATCCCCACCCATTTTCTTTGAGGGTGGGGGAAGGACCAGAGAATCGCTCCAATTCTACCGAATGCAGGATTCTCTGATCGACTGGGGATCTATCCCACTCGACACCGGAGGATGACACTGAATGGTGCAGGAGAACATCTCCAGTTCCTAATTTCCAGCTGCTGTGTTTACACAGGAGCAGGTTGCACCACTTTCTTTAAGGATACCTAGATCCTTTCACCCTTTTTTTTCCTTCTCTGATTGGCCTGAGTTAACGCTCTCTCTCTCTCTCTATGGCTCTGTCCCATTTGTGGTCAGCCCACAGAGCTTAAAAAGTTGGCATGGTCTGGTGGCTTCCTCGGCAGGAGATTCCAACGGTCAAGGATGAACCCTGATTGTTGTCGTTCCCACTATGTGGTAGACCAAAGTCCCTGGAGAAGATTCAGTTGCCGCATGCATCTCCAGATGACTTGTTAAGCCAACGATGGCCAAGTGTTGATTTCACTTCCCTTTTGGTCTTGCTAAACACCAACTAATCTCTGGAGAAAAATGCCAAGCAAACTGGCCAAATCCTCCCCTGCTCCCAGTCCACCCCCTCTCAAATTTCAAGCGAAGGGCACAAGTCCACCCCTTCTCCCAGCCCCACCCTTGCTATCCTCCTGCATCTTCTGCCTAGACAAGAGGCTGAGGAAGAGGAAAGGGGCTTATCTCCTATCTGTAGCAGATTTGAGATAAACCTTCTCTAGATGCCTTCATCAGCAGCACAGGGGCAGAAATCGGTGAGCTTAGACAGGAGACCACGAAGTCCAGGTTCCCTAAACCTTTAGAGAACCGAAAGAGGAACATCTGCTACTGCTGACTCCTCAACATTCTTGAGTCCTCCAATCCTCTCTTTAAGATCAAGAAGGTTGGGCAAGACGAACGCTATCCCTGCTTCCCTGGGGTTTGAACCCATCCCGTTTCACTCGAAACCCTGCCCCGGATTACCCTGTTCCCGAGTCTAAAACTCCACAGATCTTGATGAGGCTCAGCGACTCCCCTTCGACCTCCTCCTGACCATCTCCCAACTATTCTGACTGATCCATTGGAAGCCCAGCATCTCCCTGCAGGATTCAGTTCACCTTCATGGGAAAAATGGAAGAATCTCTCTACTGGGGGCTCTGTGGGAGGCTGAGCGTCCAACTGCAGAATGTAAAAGTGCTAAGCTCACTCCACGTCTTCAGGTATATGCCCACCTGTCAAAACCTTCCAGGTAGAGCTAAACCTGGAGCACGGAAGGCAGAGGGACAAACAATCCCTAACCTGTTTTTCCACTCCTTCCCATGGCTGATTTCTGGTTCATCTTTCTTGGGGGGGAAGGGGAAGGGGCCAAAAGCAGACATTGGAGGGGAGTGCTCCCCTCCCTCTTTTAACAGCTAGAGAGCTCGCACAAGGAAATGGACTCCCAACTCTTTCTAAGGGGCCAGGGGTGTCCTGTGCGCTCACTTCCTTTTTTTCGGCCTCCAGCTGCAACGGAAGGACATTGCAACCCAACAAACGCACACTTTGCTTCGCCTCCTTGGAGGACACCGACAAGGACACAACAACACAAAGACAAATCAAGACCTTCTGCTCTTCCCAGGCGGATAAAGCATTAGCTGGCCGGCCACCAAAATATGGAAGGGTGGGCTTTGGTTCCTCACCCAGCCTCGGATGGGAGTGGGAACCAGGGGAAGGTGCCAAAGCAAAAAGACCCCCCCCCAAGCTCAATATGTCTTCAGTATGGCTCTGTTGTGTTGCAGCAACAGGTCCCTCCAGGAAAAGTGCACCCCTGGTCCACCACCAGTCTTCCACAGCTGCTTCTTAATGTGTTGCATGGTGAGGTGGCTGGTGGCATCATATGCAACCTGCTTTGGCGCCTAGTGTGAAACGCCAACTCACCTTTGGCGACTGCAGGCCAGGTCTACCCAGGTGGATTTGGCAGGCTCCATCTCTCTGGAAATCAAGGGTCTCCAACCTTGGTTACTTTAAGACCTGCGGACTTCAACTCCCAGAATTCCCCAGCCAGCATAGCTTGCTTGAATCGAGCTGAAGTCCACAGGTCTTAAATTTTGGCTGGGGAATTCTGGGAGTCGAAGTCCACAGGACTTAAAAGTTGCCAGGGTTGGGCAACCCCTGCTGGGAATCTCCTGGGCCCGGACAACTAGAAGGGAGATGAAAACCCACCTCCTTCACCCTCAATGGAGCGAAGGAACCCACTCTAACGCCCCTCAGCTGCTGACGCCATGAACCGCGAGGGAAGGCAGGCAGACAGACAGACAGACAGATTCGCCAGAGGTATATTGTTGCAGCCGTAGGATATCTGGGTGGCTGAGGGGAAGGACGACCACGCCCCCGCGCCAAGCAGCTGGCAGCGCTCAGGCCGTTCGGTATGCTGGAACCTGCGAGGGGGGCATCCTTCCCCCCCAGCTCTAAAATCTTTTTTCCTTGCTCTCCTATCCTGACCGCAGCTTTGGATAAAGTGCATCTTCTGTGGGAAAAGGGGGGAGGAGGGGGGAAGGGGAGATGGGTTTTTCAAGAGAGGGAGGAGGGAAGGGAACCTGAGCAGCTCCCGGCCTAACCCCAGAGAACAGGAGACGAGGCGCTTAGTTTGAAACCCGCGATTCGTCGGTCCTCCTTAATCCTGACGGGCTCTGCACGGACGGCTGGGGCAATGCGCGAGACAGGCGGGGCTAGAAAAAGGCAGAAGCAGAAGAGGGGGGCTGGGGGGGCCCTTTGTCATAGCGGCCGGGGTCCGTGAAGTCCCGCCACCTCGGGGGTGAGCAGGGGGTTGTGCGTCCCCTTTGTTGACATCCAGTCGTTCAGGAACGCCTGGGTGGCCTTGCGGTGAGCCAGGCGGTGCGTGATGGAGAATCCGGCGTTTCCTTCCAGTTGGGATAAAATCACCAGGACCTGCCTGAAGGAGGAGAACCAAAATAGAGAAGAGGGGAAGGGGGGGGGGGGGGGGAAAGGACGGGAGAGGGAGGTGAGAGAGTTTCTTGAGTCTGAAGAAGTAGTTAGTAATAGCAATAGTAATTGCACTTAGACTTCTATACCACTTCACAATGCTTCACAGCCCTCTCTGAGCAGTTTACAGAGTCAGCCTATGGCCCCCAACAATCTGGGTCCTCATTTTAATGACCCTGGAAGGATGGAGGTCAACCTTGAGCCCCGTCAGGATCAAACTCCTGACGGTGGGCAGAGTTTGCCTGCAATACTGCACTCTAACCACTGCACCGTCAGAATTTTCTAGCAAGCTGGGTGACTTAGGGCCAGTCACTTCCCTCTCGGTCTTAGGATGCAGGCAATGGCAAACCACTTCTGAAAACACCTTGCCAGGAAAACTGCCAGGTATAATAATAATAATATATAATAAATGAAAGGTCAGCTGGACTAGTGGATAAGACACCAGGCTAAAAACTGGGAGATGGTGAGTTCTAGTCCTGCCTTAAGCACCAAAGCCAGCTGGCTGATTTTGGGCCGGTCGTTCTCTCTCAACCCTAGGAAATAGGCAATGGCAGAACATTTCTGAAAAACCTTGCCACAGGGACTAGGTCCAGTCACTGAAATCTGATTTGCAGACTTACACACATACACAAGGGCCCAAATTAAAATAAAATAAAATAAAATAAAATAAAATAATAAAATAAAATAAAATAAAATAAAATAAATAAATAAAATAAAATAAAATAAAATGAAATGAAATAATAAAATAATGAAATAAAATAAAATAAGTAATGAAATAATGAAATAAAATAAAATAAAAAATAAAATAATGAAATAAAATAAAATAAAATAAAAAAATAAAATAATGAAATAAAATAAAATAATAAATAATACTACCAAGGCATTAAGAGCCTTGGTAGTACAGTGGTCTAAGGCACCCTGTTATTAAGCTGGTTATTAAGACCAGCTGCCTGCAATTACTGCAGGTTCGAATCTTGCCAGGCTCAAGGTTGACTCAGCCTTCCATCCTTTCTAAGGTAGGTAAATTGAGGACCCAGTTTGTGGGGGCAATAAGCTGACTTTGTATAAATATACAAAAAAAGAATGAAGGCTATTGCTGAGCACATTGTAAGCCGCCCTGAGTCTCCGGAGAAGGGCGGCATATAAATCAAATAAAAATAAATAAATAAATAAAATAAAATAAATAATAAAATGAAATAAAAAATAATAAAATAATAAAATAAATAATAACATAATGAAATTAAATAAAATAAAACAAAATTAAATAAAATAATAAATAAATAATAAATAAATAATGAAATAATGAAATAAAATAAAATAAAAGGCTGATTAGGGATCTCATTTCTCCTTAGTTCCATAGCTCCAGTATTGGAATGCACATCAGACCAGCCATACCTCACATGCTATTTTGCATTCCTGGGCTCTCACCTGTGCAAAGGTGGCACACTGTCCTGTGTCTTCAAGCTGCCCCGAGTGGACACAACATTGAAGCTATCTGTGCAATCACACTGGACGTGGAGATAGGACTTGGGGTGCCGATTCTCCACCACGACGATGAGACCGGCCCAGCCGTGGGTCAGGTAATAACAGGTCATCCCTTCACGCCCCTGTTCCAGAAAGGAAAATAATCAGCCTGTTAGTCTGAAGGAGTCGTAGGTCAACAGATTGAAGGTTGGGATAAAGTTTGCATCCCATCACACTTAAGCCAGGAGTGTCCGACCTTTGGTGTCTTTAAGACTTGTGGACTCTAACTCTGTCAGAGAATTCATGACTGGCAGAGACATGGTACCATGGTAACCATGGTAATGAATAGGCATAGCAACTGAGTCAGCCAATGGGGACTGTTTGGAAACTGAAACTAGTCTTGCTGAACTGAAACTGAAACTAGACTCTTCTCTGCTGTACTCTGCCTGTGTTTTGTACTTATTCACAATCTCTACTTGCTACCGTGTTTCCCCAAAAATAAGACCCTGTCTTATATTTTTTTGAACCCTGAAATAAGCGCTTGGCCTTATTGCCATGCGCTCAAAAGCCCGATTGGGTTTATTATCAGGGGATGTCTTATTTTGGGGAAAACAGGGTACCACGTTGGAAGAATCTGCTTTTGGCATTGTATGTGTTATTTTATATATAAAGAGAAGTTAATGAATCCTGCTGAATCAGTTATCTGTGTGTGCTTTCTGGATGTGATTTTTGCAACTAACTCTGACAAGCTCCCAGAATTCCCCAGCCAGCACAGCTTTCTTTCAGCACAGCTGGGGGAATTCTGGGAATTGAAGTCCACAAAAGTTGGCAAGGTTGGCCACTCCTGCTCTAAAAGAAGCTGCCGCTTGTGGAATTGTGGGATTTGAAGTCCGCAGGTCTTAAAGTCACCAAGGTTGGACATCCTTGACCAGGCTATAGTTAAGTGATTGGGTTGGTCAACAGGTTACTCAATGATCCTGAAGAGAACTGAGATCTTTTTTTAAAAAAAATTCTTTTCTAATCGCTTTAATGTCAATAATCAGGACCCCCAAACTCAAATCTAAAACTCTACAGACTCTTCAAGAGGATGATGGCTACCGACACCCACCTCATGCCGCTCGCCCTTGTTCTCCGTGAGGAGAATGATGGCGTCGGCCAAGGTGGTCGATTGGGCCTCAATCTGTTCTACCATCACTAGGCGGGAACCGTAGATGGCTAAGATGTAGCTGGAGACTTCGGTAGGCGGGCATTCACTGCTAGATGTAGGGCTGGAGCCTGAAAGAGATGGAAAGATATGGCAGAGATGTGGGTTCAGTTGTAGGAGACGGCACCTCAAGCTTTACACCATCCTGCCTGGCATCCCTACCGCGAGCTTAAGAGGATCCAAAAGTCATCCTATCTGAAGAATGAAGGCCTCTCTTCAGCACTTAGGAACTTCGGTTAACTTTTCCCAGGAAAACATAAAACACTGAATTATTCAATTGACTATTTGGTGGAAGCTCCTTTTTCACCCAAGGGAGCAAATGTCAAGGGAAAATTAAGAAGGAAATAATTAAGATAGATTTGTCAGATTTTTTTTTTTTTTGTCTTGCTTTGACTCCAGGTGCAAAACTCTTTGTTTACCATGAGAGAAGAACCCCGCTGAGAAAATCTCATTTGCTTAGCTCTGCACTGATGAGGTTACCTAGTTTGCAGTGGTGGGATTCAAACAATTTAATAACTGGTTCTCTGCCCTAATGATGGGCTGGGTGGGCGTGGCCATGGGGGGCGTGGCCAGGGGTGTGTGACAGGCAGCACTTGGCCTGCACCCCCTTGAGAGCAAAAATGGGCTGGGGAGGCGCTCCCCCCACGCCCCATTTTGGGCCTAGGAGGCCTCCCTGAAGCCTCCTGGGAGCGAAAAAGGGCTTAGGAAACCTCCCTGAAGCCTCTTCGGAGCAAAACGGGCCTCCGGGGGTTGCCCCCCTGTGCCCTGTTTTGGGCCTAGGCCTCCCTGCATTTACTTGGGAGCCAAAATAGAGCACATGGGGACTCCTGGAAGGGGCGGGGCCAGTCAGAATTTAACTACCGGTTCGTCCGAATCGGCCCGAACCGGCTGAATCCCACCAATGCTAGCTTAGTAATGAAATGTCTGCAGGAAAACAGCCAAACTGAGAGAGCACCAAGGATGACTCCTCCTTCTCCTCTTCTTTGCCCCCATCCCACTTCCCATCTAGCACTGATGATGTTACCTAGCTTGGTAATGAAACATCTGTAGGAAAACCACCAAGCTCAGAGAGCATTGAGGACCTCACAGCTCAACCCTGAGCTACAAAATATTCTCTTGTATTGAAGATCTCATTAAAGGGAAACCCCGGGAGTGTCTGTGGCTGATTGAATCACTGAGCCTCGGACTCCCCCGCTCCAGTTCAACAACCAACACTTCACACTGGCTTCTGGAGAGAGTCCTTGAAACGATTAATAGCAAGAGCACTTAGACTTATATATGGCTTCACAGTGCTTTTACAGCCCTCTCTAAACTGTTTACAGAGTCAGCACATTGCCCCCAGCAATCTGGGTCCTCATTTTACCCACCTCGGAAGGATGGAAGGCTGAGTCAACCTTGAGCCTGGTGAGATTCAAACTGCCAATTTGCAGGCAGCCGGTAGTCAGCAGAAGTAGCCTGCAGTACTGCACTCTAACCACTGCACCACTGTGACTCTTAAAGAGGGCTTTTCTTCAAACGCTGGCATCTTTCTATTCCGTCTCAGTCCTACCTTCCGAGCAAGTCACCCACTGCTCTCACCTGGGCCTGAGGTTCCTGGCACTGGGGCAGTCCAGTGGTTGAAGGCACAGCACACCACGGCATACTCGCCCGGCTCCAGCATGATGTCACAGTTGACAAATTTCTTGACGGCTCGCTTGCTGTGGGCCATCAGGCGTCCCAGGCTTAGCTTGCTCCCATTGATGAAGGTGGCTCGGAACACCATGATGCAGAGGTCGAGGAGATGGCTGTCCACGGTGTCTGAGCGTCTGAGAAAGGACAAGATGGAGTCACTGAAGCAGTCAGCGTGAGTTTAAATGGACTCCCCTCACCAAACCAAGAGGATTGATACCATAGACCAGTGATAGTTAACCTTTTTGCCGTCGCGTGCCAAAAACGGTGGGAGCGCAGGAGGATCGCACACGTGCGTGCCCACACCCATAACTCAATGTGCCCTGACCACCATGCATGCACGTGCCACACACACACACACACACACACACACATACACACACCGTGTGGCCCCTGTTTTTGGCACATGATGGCATGGTGGGCCAGGTAGGCCCATTTTTCGCCCTCCCCAGGCTCCAGAGGCTTTCTTGGAGCCTGGGGAAGGCGAAAACGGCCTTCCTCACCACCACCCCCGGAGGCCCTCCGGAGGCCGGAAACAGCGTGTTTCCCAACTTCCAGTGGGCCCGGAAGGCCAGAAAATCAGTTGGCCGGCGCGCGCATGCGCACTGGAACTGAGCTAGGGCAATGCTAGCATGCCCACAGATATGGCTCCACGTGCCACAGGTGTCAAGTTTCTGAAAGATGCCCTAATTAATTCATGAGCCATGATCCAAACTTCAAAGGAAATATATTCATTTATTAGGAGCAACATTCCGGCAATACTCGGATGCAGTTAGGACTGATCCTACATAGATTTACCTTCCCCTATGACCCTGTCTCTCCCCTCCTCTCTGGCCATGTCATAAATCACATTCTCCAATTAACCACTTTGGCTGGCTGTGAAGCCTAACACCCTCCTTCTGATTGCAGTCAGGAAGAATGTATGGAATGCACTTCAGTTAGGGAAATCAATCAGCTCTATCAGTTCTCCCTCCCTCCTGCTCATGGCAACTTGAAAGCTTTGCAAGTTGACAACAGGTGGCACCTGTGCCATAGGTTTACCATCACGGCCATAGACCATCTTTCCCCAAGTCGGCTAGACTCCAACTCCCACATTTCTAAGGTGGCTGGGGCTTTGTGGAAACCGCAACACAATAGATCTCCAGCTCTCTAATTTGAGAAGAACTTTTAGATAAGCTACAAGTCAGAAAGGAACCAGCCGTTTACAACCCACTCACTCTACCATGTCTACAGATGCAATCCAGATTCTGCTCCTGATCACAGTACAGGCAGTCCTCGACTTACGGCCACAATTGAGCCCAACGTTTCCATTGCTAAGCAAGATGTTAAGTGAGCTTTGCCCCACTTTACGATCTTCCTTGCTAGAGCCTCGGTTCTTCACCCAATTGGCTTGATCTTCCGCCTCACCTGCTGCCTTCCTGGAAAAGGGCAAACTCCAAAGTTGCTCGCTCCAGCACAGTCAGTGACGTGACCGTGATGGGCCCACTGGCCTTGTTGGGGAAAGCTGCCTGCACACGCACTTCGTGCCAGTCGGAATGAAGCTTGCAGATGTCCACGGAGTCAAAATACCTAGAAAAGAAAGCAACATCTCTTAACCTTGGGCCAGTCGCTCTCTCTCAGTCCAACCCACCTCACCGGATGGTTGTTGTGGGGAAAAATAGGAGGAAGGAGGTGTGCTGGATACGTTCATAGCCTTGAGTTATTTGCAAAAACAATAAAGGCAGAAGATGGTAGGTAGGTAGGTAGGTAGGTAGAAGATAGATAATAGGTGGGTAGGTAGATAGATAGATGACAGACAGACAGACAGACAGACAAAGACAGACTAGATAGATATAAATATTAGAGGGGATGGATGGATGGATGGATGGATGGATGGATGGATAGATAGATAGATAGATAGATAGATGATAGATAGATAGATAGATAGATAGATAGATGACAGACAAACAAAGACTAGATAGATATAAATATTAGAGGAGAAGAATGGATGGATGGATGGATAGATGGATGGATGGATGGATGGATAGATAGATAGATAGATAGATAGATAGATAGATAGATAGATAGATAGATAGATAGATAGATGACAGACAGACAAAGACAGACTAAATAGATATAAATATAGAGGAAGATGGATGGATGGATGGATGGATGACAGACAGACAGACAAACAAAGACAGACTAGATAGATATAAATATTAGAGGAGATGGATGAATGGATGGATGGATAGATAGATGACAGACAGACAGACCGACAAAGACAGATAAATATAAATATTAGGGGAGATGGATGGATAGATGATAGATAGATAGATATAGATAGATAGATAGATAGATAATAGATAGATGACAGACAAACAAAGACTAGATAGATATAAATATTAGACGAGATGGATGGATGGATGGATGGATAGATGATAGATAGATGATAGATCGATCAATCGATAGATATAGATGAAAGACAGATAAGTAGATCAAGTGTGTGTGTGGGTGGGTGTGGGTTGGTGGGTGGGTGTGTTTATGGTATATGTAGACAGACAGGCAGACCCAGGAAGCATTTCTACCTTGTGATCTTAAAATCCACAACCTGACAATCCCACAGCCGAACTCAAGCAACCCAAGGGCTCTGGGACGCAAGCTGGCTCCCCCTGGGAGATACCTGATGAAGTCGCTGTATTCCATCCAGAAGACCCCGTCGCTGCTCCCATGGGGCATCAGCTCGTGACGCAAATGGGAGGGCCAGTGGGACCATTCGTCGGACCAGCTGCCATTCCAAGAGAAGCGGCCCCAGGGATTACGAAGTCGCAGCAGTCTGAAAGGGATTTAGGGAGGAGAAAAAGAAGAAAAAGATGGGTTACTCAGCTCTTACTCTGAGCTTAAGAATAAGGCATAAACTCTTTACTGTAGGAGAAGAGCAGGCGGACCTGGGAGGGCGGAGTTAAATGTGTCATCAGCCTAGAATTGTTACGTTGCCACAAACGGCCGAAGTCCAATCCTTCTTGAATTCCATTGATCCTTATCTGGCACCAAGGTAGTACTGATCTTCAGTTGACGAGATTAAAATTAGGCGCAGGAACATCCGTTAAGATGCAGCTCAGAAAGATTTATCGCTCAAAAACCTATACACAACAATCCAGTCAACTAAAGTTCAGTACTAAATTGGCGGCAGATAAAGGTCAATGGTATTGAAGGAGTTGGACATTTTTGGCAACGCAACGATTCTAGGCTGATGACGCACTTAATTCCACCCCCACCCCCAACCCCAGCTGTGCCTGCTCTTCTCCTGCATTTACGAAGATACAAAGATTGGCAGATTAAAGAGTTTACAACGGATTGAATGAATGAATAAGCGTCAGCCTTCCGAATATTAGAACCATTTTGTCCGCTGTCTTAGGTTCCATCGAATTGGATGCCGAGTGTGTTCGCTGGGAAAATAATTCCTGCTGTGCTTAAACAGGAAAGCGTGACAAGGGTTACAGCTTATCCCGCTGAAAGCCAGCAAGAATGTAAAGTGGTTGGGGGTTTTTTTGAAAAAAAAATAGGGCTACAACTTGATTTAAGAAACCTTACATGATTACATTGGTTTCACTTGATTATCTGGTGGTTTGAACATATTTGGCAGCTGGCTCAAAACAATATTCTGGAATCAAAGAGATGTTTTTTAAAATTATTATTTTAGATGTTTCCCATTGGCGAATTCTTTCTCAATCTAGACAGTTATTTTACCAGTGTTTGGATTCACACATGATGTTGAGACAACATCCCTTTACCCAGGTTAATGTTAATTAATTGACAAGCAGTTATGGTTTGTTTAATAAGCCATGGCTCAGTTTTAAACTCAAACACAGTCAGCAAATCGAAGATGGAAACTAATCAAGGAGAGGAGCAGCCTGGAATTAAGGAGAAACTTCCTAACAGTGAGAACAATTAACAAGTGGAACAACTTGCCTCTAGAAGTTGTGAATGCTCCAACACTGGAAGTTTTTAAGAAGATGTTGGATAACCATTTGTCTGAAGTGGTGTAGGGTTTCCTGCCTAAGCAGGGGGTTGGACTAGAAGACCTCCAAGGTCCCTTCCAACTTTGTTATTTTATGAGAAATACAGTAAATACACAGAGAAATAAATTAACAATCAGTAAATAATAAACAGTGATTTGCTTCAATCAACCCAATCTTCCAGGATCACGTTACACATGGAACAGTATATCGGGGCCCAGTTGGATTTGTGCTTAATGGAGTTGGCTGATTTGTGGTTTGTTGTGTTGCGAGATGACAGTTTCTGTGTAGTTACACACGGAAGTTATTAGTGCTGCCCGAATCCATTCTCTCTGCAGATTGGCAACTGCAGCTCTGTCATTGTTTCATTGCCTTCTTTTTTTTTTTTTTTTTAAAGATAGTTTATCTAGTCAATGCTTAGGAAAATAAAAAAAAAGTAAAATCAAACAGATGAGATAAAATACTGCATCACAAAAATAAAATAACACATAAAAAAATGTGGCACGCGCTTCTTAACTGGGCAAATCTTAAAATATTGCAGAGTAGGAAGCATAAAGAGGAATCATCTAAAAACAAGATAGCTAGTATGTGGTTAAAATGTACCAACAGAGGAAGAAATAACTAAGAATAACTTAGAAATAACTACAGAGTCAGCCTATTTGCCCCAATAATCTGGGTCCTCGTTTTACCGACCTCGGAAGGATGGAAGGCTGAGTCAACCTTGAGCCTGGTGAGATTCGAACTGCCAAACTTCTAGATTGAAAATGGTTCTATCTATAGACCCCCTAATTTTAAAGCAAGCAAGCTGTCCATGAGCAAAGCGGGCAGGATCATCAGCGCAGCCATGTTTACCTGCGTCCTTGCACGTCTCGTACATCCAATATGGAGTACGCATGTCGTGGGCGAAGACCCATGCTTTCATAGGCCGCATCATCCACCTTCATGTTGCCTCCTCCACACGATGCTCCCATGAGGAAGCTGAAGAGTAACAGAAATGGGAATAAAATGTGGGGAAGGTACAAGAGAAAGAAAAAGGGACAAAGATTTAGGCCAGAGTTTGCCAACCTTGGCAATCTCCACAGATGTGTGGACTTCAAATCCCACAGTTCCACAGCTATCTTGGCCCCTGCTAAGAATTCTGGGAGTAGAAGTCCACCTGGAAGGTGCCAGGACTGGGTGTGGCTTCCAGTCTTATTTAAAGTTTGATGTCCTGAAGATGCTTTCTTAAAAGACAACTGGACTTTTTTTTTTTTTTGGCTTGAAGAGGTTTTGCTTCTCATCCCAGAAGCTTCTTCAGTTTCGCTTCTCATCCACGAAGCTTCTTTAGTCAGAACTGAGGAAGCTCCTGGGATGAGAAGCGAAACTTCTTCAAGGAAAAAAACAAAGGAAGTCCGGTTGCCTCTTGAAAAAGGACCGTTGGCACAACCATGACCTTAGATGACAGAGAGTCTGGGAAGTTAGGTATTCATCCTCTACATTTTCCAGAAATATATTACATTTTTTCCCCAGTTTTTTCATGGTTTACTAGAAAATAAAAGCTGACCAGGATCATGGAGGCATGTCCTGCTTCCCTGGCCATTGAAAGTTACGCAACAAATATTGTGACTTTTTCTTAGGACTAATCCACACATGGGGCAAAAGGTGTTGGTAAAATCTTCCAGTGGTCTGCCCCACTTCCAACTGGGGTAGGGGAAGGGATAATATTTTTGGAGAATATTTTTTCCCGTGGGAGGGATCGTTACAATGCTGACAAAAGGGCCTAGTGGAAATAGGTTTTCCTTTTGAGGGGACACCCCAGGGGAAGAGTCCATCTTGCACTCCCTGATCCGGGTGGTGAACTACAGGTAGTCCTCGACTTACAACAGTTCATTTAGTGACTGTTCGAAGTTAGAATGGCACTGGAAAAAAAAGTGCCTTATTTTTCGAACTATAAGATGCATTTTTTGATCTCCCAAAAGGGGGTGAACATGTCTGTGTTTTATAGACCGAAGATTTGGCCTCCGCACAGCCTGTTTTGGGGTCTTTTTTCGGCCCGTTTTTGACCTGCTTTTTTGGCCTGTTTTTTCCAAAAGAATGAGCTGAAAAAATACCCCAAAAAGGGCCAAAAAGAGCCTAGAAAATGGGCTGAATAAAGCCTCAGAAATGGGCTGAAAAAAGCCTCAAAAATGAGCCCCAAAAAGCCTCAAAAAGAGCCAAAAAAGCCTCAAAAACAGGCTGAAAAAGCCTCGAAAATGGGCCAAAAAAGCCCCCCCAAAAGGGCTGAAAAAAGGCTAGAAAATGGGCTGAAGAAAGCCTCAAAAATGAGCTGAAAAAAGGCTCAAAAACAGGCTGAAAAAAGCCTCAAAACGGGCTGAAAAAGCCTCAAAAACGGGCCCAAAAAAATCCCCCCAAAAAGCCGAAAAGCACCTCAAATAGGGGCCAAAAAGCCTAGATAACGGGTTGAAAAAAAGGCTGGAAAATTGCCAAAAAAGGGCCAAAAATGGGGTGCGCGGAGACAAAAAAACTTTTTTGTTGTTGTTTTCCTCTTCTAAAGTTAGGTGCGTCTTATAGTCAGGTACATTTTTTAGTCCGAAAAATACGGTAACTTATGACAGTTTTCCCACACTTATGACCGTTGTAGCATCCCCACGGTCACCTGATCAAAATTTGGATACTTGGCAACTGGCATGTATTTATTTATTTATTTATTTATTTATTTATTTATTTATTTATTTATTTATTTAAATTTCTATACTGCCCTTCTCCCGAAGGACTCAGGGCGGTGAACAGCCAGAAGATAAAACACAGAGATACAAAAATTTAAAATAGATTAAAAACAAATTAAATAATTTGGCTGAAATTTTAAAATACCCCCTAATTTAAACAGATTAAAATTTGTAGTTAAAATTTATATTTAAAAGGGGAGAAGATTTATGACGGTCGCAGTGTCCTGGGGGGGGAGGGGGGGTCATGTGATCCCCTTTTGGGACCTTCACTTTACAACTGTGTAATTAATTTAACGACGGCAGTGATTCACTTAACGGCGGTGGCAAGAAAGATCGTAAAGCGGGGGCGACATTGACTGAATAGCTGTCTCGCGGTCAGCCAGAGAAATTTCGGGCTCAAAAACTGTGGTCGTAAGTCGAGGACTACCTCTACTTCAATCGGGATGCAAGAGGACTTAGGCCAAAGGGCCGGATTCTCTCGGGCTCCTCGTGATACGAACTTTGTCCTCCTCCAACCTTAAAAGGGAAGCCCCTCCCCTTCTGCCTTGTCTTACCCAGCCTCCTTAGAACTCAGCATTTTGGCCCAGATGAGGTCAGTGTCAATGGCCTCCTCGCGAGGGTTAGTGGAGCTGACCTGCAGCATCAAGCTCTCGCAGGGAGCGCCGGTCAGCGTAGCCAGGCCTTCGATGGCGCGCCCTGCTTGGAGGGCGAAGTATGAGCCGTGGAGTTTGGCCAAGGCCTTCTCAATCAGAGCCACCCATAGCTGTTTCCTCTGAGCCTGGGAAAAGGAAGACATGACACCGAGTTGGATATACAGGTGACAACAGACAGATTTCTCATCCCTTGTCAGGTGCGAGCCACTGAAGCTACTCCTAAATAGCCAAAAGCCATCAACTTTATTGACGTCTGCCTAGGTTACAAGAATCTCATCAACTCTGACTTTGGAAGACAGCAAAAGTCCACATTTTGGACAGAGAAGACGGCTGGTTTGAAAGAGGGGGAGGGATATGACATCCAGGGGTGAAATGCTCCCGGTTCGGACCGGATCGCCTGATTTGGTAGCGATGGCGACGGGTGGTTCGGAGAACTGGTAACAAAAATCCCTGCGCCCTCACCCCCCCATGCTCAGCTGAGTCGCACGATCATCAGAGCCTTTTTTTTTTTTTAACTTTTAAAAGCATTTTTTCTACAACCTCTTCCGACGAAAAAATGCTTTTAAAAGTAAAAAAAAAAAAGCCTCTGATGATCACTCGGCTCAGCTGGGATCCTCACAGGCTTTTCAAAGCATTTTTTTCTGCAACCTCTTGGCCGAAGAGGTGGTTAAAAAAAATGCTTTGAAAAGCCTCTGACGATCCCAGCTGAGTTGCCTGATCGCCAGAGGCTTTTCAAAGCATTAGAAAAAATGCTTTGAAAAGTTAAAAAAAAAAAAAAAGTTGGCCACCCCCACCCAGTCACATTACCCCCACCGCCACCAAGCCATGCCCACAGAACCAGTAGTAACACATTTTACATTTCACCCGATGACCTCCTCTGTCTCCAGTCTTTCAGCAGTTCCAAGAACGGTTCAGCAGAACCGTTCTTTCAGCAGTTCCAAGAAGGCTCCCCACCTATTTGCACCACTCAGGTGACCCTGAGGACACACACTAACCTCCAAGTGGCCTCAATGGCCCTCTAAAAGGAGGCAAATGACCAGCTGTCTGCAAGGAGTATAAACCCTTCCATTCCCCACCATACAGTCAGAGCTGAAGAAGCTTCTTGGATGAGAAGCGAAACGTCTTCAAAGAAAAAAACCAGAAAGTCCAGTTGCCTCCTGAAAAAGCACCTTTGGGACAACCGTGACCTGGATGACGGAGAAACTCCATAAACATTTCTCAGCTCCCATTCCCCATGAGCCACCTCGGTACAGCCCCTTCCCCCAATTCGTGGCACCCACCTGGGAGAAGAGGAGATAGCCACACTCATCGCAGGGCAGCATGTCATCCACCAGCACGGTGGTCCAGGTACCATCTTTGCATAGTCGGACTTGGTAAGCCCCCTCGGGGCACATGGTCCTTGTGATCATCACCCTTTCCACCAATTCGGGCCGCTCTGCCAGCACTGCCAGCGCACTCAGGAACCTGAAAGAGATGGGCATCTGATGAAGACCCCTAATGGTGAGGAATGATGAGTCTGTCACCTGCAGCTCCATAACTGTCTAGTTTGGTTCTGCAACCCGACAAGAGAGACACGGACTTCAGAGGATAATTAGGACTGCAGAAAAAACAATGGCTACCAACCTGCCTTCCATGGAGGACCTGCATACTGCAGGAGTCAAAAAGAGGGCTGTGAAAATATCTACAGACCCCTCACATCCTGGACATAAACTGTTTCAACTCCTACCCTCAAAACGACGCTATTGAGCACTGCACACCAGAACAACTAGACACAAGGACAGGTTTTTCACTCTGCTAAACAACTAATTCCCTCAACACTGTCAAACTGTTCATTAAGTCTGCATTACTATTAATCTTCTCATCGTTCCTATCACCCATCTCCTCCCACTTATGACTGCATGACTGTAACTTTGTTGCTTGTATCCTTATGATTTATATTGATTGTTTCCTAGTATGATTTGATTGCTTATTTGTACCCTATACTATCATTAAGTGCTGTACTTTATGATTCTTGACAAATGTATCTTTTCTTTTATGTACACTGGGAGCATTATGCACCAAAGACAAATTTCTTGTGTGTCCAATCACACTTGGCCAATAAAAAAATTCAATTCTAATTCTAATTCTAATTCTAATTCTAATTCTATTCTATTCCCAATTTGGTTCAATTTGATTCCCTATTCTATTCTATTCTATTCTATTCTATTCTATTCTATTCTATTCTATTCTATTCTATTCTATTCTATTCTATTCTATTCTATTCTATTCTATTCTACTTTTTCTCTTTTCTATTCTCTCCTCTCCTCTCCTCTCCTCTTTCTATTCTATTCTATTCTATTCTATTCTATTCTATTCTATTCTATTCTATTCTATTCTATTCTATTCTATTCTTTCTCTATTCTATTCTATACAAGTCTCATCAGTGATATGAGAGGGCAGCCTCTGTGTATAGCAGGACTGTCAAACTAGTGGCCGGCGGGCTGGATGCGTCACACGCTAGCCACGCCCATCCCCGGTGTAGCAAAGGGGGAAAAAAATTGCAATACATCACGTGACGACGACGTGTCTTTGCGAGTTTGTCACCTCTGGTCTATAGTCTTTTTTTTTTTTTTTTAAAGAGGGCTGTTTCAGCAGGTGGCAGCACCTGACCAACCTTAAGAGGACTGAAAGGGTCAAAAGCAGTTAAGCCCTTCAAAGAGCAGCTTTCCAGGAATATCAAGGTGGTGGGAATTGATGAAACGGTCCTGGAAGGAGGGAAGGGCAAATAACAGTTGTTTTAAAAAAGCTGTAAAAAAAGATGTGGAGACTGTAGAAAGAGTGCAGAGAAGAGCAACAAAGAGGATTAGGAGACTGGAGGCTAAAACATATGAAGAACGGTTGCAGGAACTGGGTGTGTCTAGTTTAATGAAAGGAAGGACTAGGGGAGACATGATAGCAGTGTTCCAATATCTCAGGGGCTGCCCCAAAGAAGAGGGAGTCAAGCTATTCTCGAAAGCACCTGAGGGCAGGACAAGAAGCAACGGGTGGAAACTAATCAAGGAGAGAAGCAACTTAGAACTAAGGAGGAATTTACTGACAGTTAGAACAATTCATCAGTGGAACAACTTGCCTCCAGAAGTTGTGAATGCTCCAACACTGGGAGTTTTTAAGAAGATGTTGGACAACCCTTTGTCTGAAGTGGTGTAGGGTTTCCTGCCTAAGCAGGGGGTTGGACTAGAAGACCTCCAAGGTCCCTCCAAGGTAAATTCAATCCTGACTGGCTAAAGATTGACTCAGCCTTCCATCCTTCCGAGGTGGGTAAAATGAGGACCCAGATTGTTGGGGGCAAGAGGCTGACTCTGTAAACCCCTTAGAGAGGACTGTGAAGCAGTATATAAGTCTAAGGGCTATTGCTATTAGGAGCCCTGGTGGCGCAGTAGTTAGAATGCAGTATTGCAGGCTAATTCTGCCCACTGTCAGCAGTTTGATCCAGATCGACTCAAGGTTGACTCAGCCTTCCATCCTTCCGAGGTCAGTAAAATGAGAACCCAGATTGTTGGGGGCAAGAGGCTGACTCCGTAAACCGCTTAGAGAGGGTTGTAAAGCACTGTGAAGCGGCATATAAGTCTAAGCGCTATTGCTATGTATCCAGAGCCACACTCCACGCTTGGTTCGTGATGGAGGCTAGTGTGCCACGTCGGTGGAAGTAACACAAAAAAGACCCATCTGCTCTTGGTTTCTTACCAACAGTTTCCCAGGAGTCCCTGCAGGATATCTGAAGGTCGGGGTGTCCGGAAAACTGACCACTTGACCGATCGGTCTTTGAAGATGTTGCAGTTGATTTCGTGAGGCCTAAGCCACTGTTTGACTCGCTGCTGGACGCTGTCTCCTTCGGGAAAGCCAACCGACTTGGGACCGGGAGGAAAGCTGTCATCCACAAAGTTGACCTTGTTCTGCAGGTACGAAGTTTAAGAAGTCAAGGCAAGACCTGATGGAGATTGAGTTCTACGCAAATAAGAAGCCGAGATGGAGGCTGACATTTGTGAGATTCAGAAAACAGTTCTTCCCTTTCCCAGCTACATAACCAGGGGTGGAATGCTCCCGGTTCGGACCGGATAGTCTGATCCGGTAGCGATGGAGGCGAGTGGTTCAGAGAACCGGTAGCAAAAATCCCTGCCCCCCCCCCATGCCCAGCTGAGCCACACAATCATCAGAGGCTTTTTTTTTTACTTTTAAAAGCATTTTTTCTACAACTTCTTCGGCCAAAAAATGCTTTTAAAAGTAAAAAAAAAAAAGCCTCTGATGATCATGCGGCTCAGCTGGGATCGTCAAAGGCTTTTAAAAGAAAAAACCTTTTTTTCTTTTAAATGCCTCTGACGATCCCAGCTTTGCCTGATGGGCAGAGGCTTTTTAAAAAAGCTTTTGCCGATCAGGCAACTCAGCTGGGATCGTCAGAGCCTTTCGAAAGCATTTTTTAATACCCTCTTCGGTGAAGAGGTTGTAGAAAAAATGCTTTTAAAAGTAAAAAAAAAAAAAATTGGCCACGCTCACCCAGTCACATTACCCACCACCACCACCAAGCCACGCCCACAGAACTGGTAGTAACACACTTTAGATTTCACCACTGTATATAACCAATGATTGTCTATGACCATGATGGCGAACAGCACTCTGATGGCACATGAGCCATCACCCCAGTTCAGCTTCGCCACATATGTGCACGCATCTCCCGCCGGCCAGCTGGTCTTTGGGTCTCTGGTGCGCATGTGCAGGGGCGAGGTGTGTGCGGGGGTCCGTGCACACATGTGTGTGTGTGGGGTAGGATGAATGCGGGGGGGACGCACGTGAATGCACGGGGCACATGTGCAGGGTACATGCGTGGGGGCCACGCGCACATTGCATTTTGGAACTTCGGGTACGCGCTTTGGGCACTCAGTCTGGAAAAAGTTAGCCATCACTGGTCTACGGGGATTCTCAGTCATCCAAGTCATGGTTGTCCCAAAAGTGCTTTTTCTCAAGAGGCAACTGGACTTCCTTGTTTTTTCTTTGAAGACGTTTCACTTCTCATCCATGAAGCTTCTTCAGCTCTGACTGGATGGTGGGGGATGGAGAGTCGTTGAGGCCACTTGTAGGTTTGTCTGTGTCCTCAGGGACACCTGCGTAGTGCAGATGGGTGGGGAGCCTTCTTGGGACCGCTGAAAAGGACTGCGTTGTGGAGCTGTGCTTTCTTCAGGATGTTGTCTGCGTCCCTGTGTCCCTTCACTGTTGGACACAAGAAAGCTCCACACCCATTTGCACTACTCAGGTGACCCTAAGGCTGTGATGGTGAACCTATGGCACGTGTGCCACAGGTGGCACACATAGCCATATCAGTGGGCACACCAGGTTAGTTCTGCCGCGCATGCGCACGCAAGCCAACTAATTTTCGGGCCTCCTGTGCCCACCAGAAGTAGGGAAACAGGCTGTTTCCTGCCTCCGGAGGGCCTCCGAGAGGGTGGGGAAGGCTGTTTTCGCCCTCCCCGGACGCATGGAGAGGATCTGGAGGCAGGTGAGAGAGAAAAACGGGCCTACAGGGTCATCACAGGGAGGGAAGAGGGGTTGTGCGCGCATGTGCACCGTGAATTATGGGTGTGGGCACGCACACGCACGAACCTCCCCCGCTCCCCTTCCTGGCACATGATGGCAAAAAGGTTAGTCATCACTGCCCTAAAGAAACAGATAAACCCCCAAGTGCCCTCAATGATTCTCTAAAAGGATGCAAATGACCAGCTGCCTGCAAGGAGCATCAATCTTTCCATTCCCCGCCATCATCCAGTCAGAGCTGAAGAAGCTTCTTGGATGAGAAGCAAAACGTCCTCAAGGAAAAACCAGAAAGTCCAGATGCCTCTTGAAAAAAAAGCATCTTTGGGATAATCAATGATTGGGATTTCGGAGAACAGGAGCCTAACATACAGGTTGTTCTTGACTTACAACAGTTCATTTAGTGACCATTCGAAGTTACTACAGTACTGAAAAAAAGTGACTTATCAACATTTTTCACACTTATGACTATTGCCGCATCCCTGTAGTCACATGATCAAAATCCAGCCACTTGGCAACCGACTCATATTTATGACGGATGCAGTGTCATAAATATGAGTCGCACAAAGTCATACGGGGAAAGCCAGATTCACTTAAGAACCGTGGGAAGAAAGGTTGCAAAATGGGACAAAACTCACTTAATGAACGTCTCAGCAACAGAAATGTTGGGCTCAGTTGTGGTTGTAAGTCGAGGACTACCCATACTCAAGGAATCTTCCAAACTGTCACTTCTTTCAGTGCTGCCGCAACTTCAAACGGTCACTAAATGAACCGTTATAAGTTAAGAGCTACTACTTGTATATGGAAGAATTGCTGTACGGATGAGAAGGGGAATTGAGAAGGTGTTTCAAACTTCAGTCTGCTGTATTGTAAAATATTTTCATGAATTCTCATCAATTATTATTTTTTTTGCAGAGGGTTTTTTGATCTGTTCCCGATGCCTGTTTGCTCTCTCGGCTGCTATTTTCCCCGGTATTAATTTTACTGCCCTTTTATATCAAATGTTCTCGGGGGGGGTTTTGGGACACCACTCTATGAGGTTTGTACCGAAACATAATTGAATTTTTTTTTTTTATTCATTTAGGACTTGCAATAAATGTGTCAGTGCTGGTGTGTTGTTGTTGTTTTTTTTCCTCAACTCGTATTTTTTTTCTTTTTGGTCCTGTTTTGATATTTATCTCACCGTTTTCTTTTGCGTTCTTGCACTAAACATATGTTTCGATTCACTGTTTGTTTTATTTATTCGCTGATTATCGTCTTAACCTACTGTTTGAAACCCGCAAATCGTATGTTAATTGTAAACAGCTCGGAGAGCTCCTTTAATGAGAATTGCTGTAAATGAGATTAAAGTTGTTAAATTGAATTAAAAATTGAACAATCTTTTCAAATGACTAATGATGGCTCTGACCCCGTTTCTGGGTGCTATTCTTACTGGAAGAGACGCAGAGAAAGTCACCTTCGAGGATCAGGGCCCTGGAAATTAGATCTTTGAATGAGAGACCCAAAGCAATTGGAGTATGTTTAGTCTTGAGAAAAAAAGTTCACCGAAGGATATAGGACAGTGACGCCGCATACCAAAAGTAGGGGGGGGGACGCGGGAGGGTCGTGTGCGTGCGTGCCCACACTCATAATTCAATGCGCCGCGCCTCCCTGTGCATGCACGCATGACCCCCCGGCGCTCTCCCCGCTTTTGGCACGTGACAGCACAGTTGGACCAGTAGGCCTGCTTTTTGCCCTCCCCAGGCTCCAGAGACTTTCTAGGAGCCTGGGAGGGTGAAAACAGCCTTCCCCCATCCCCCCGGAGGCCCTCCAGAGGCTGGAAATGGCTTGTTTCCTGACTTCCGGTGGGCCTGAAAGGCCCAAAAAATCAGCTGGCTGGCACACGCATTCATGCTGGAGCTGAGCTAGGGCAACATTCGCGTGCCCACATATATGGCTCAGGGGGCATGCGTGCCATAGGTTCGCCATCACGGATATAGGATGACATTTTTCAAGTACATGAAACACTTAAGCTGTACAATTTAAGGTTGGACCCAGAGCCCTCTCTGCTGGCACCTGCGCTGTTGCTCCAGGTCACATCTCCGTGGCGTTGTTTTTTTTTTTAATTTGATTTATATGCCGCCCTTCTCCGGAGACTCAGGGCGGCTTACAATGCGCTAAGCAATAGCCTTCATCCTTTTGTATATTTATACAAAGTCAGCTTATTGCCCCCACAAACTGGGTCCTCAGTTTACCTACCTTAGAAAGGATGGAAGGCTGAGTCAACCTTGAGCCTGGCGAGATTCGAACTTGCAGTAATTGCAGGCAGCTGGTCTTAATAACAGGGTGCTTTAGACCACTGTACTACCAAGGCTCTTTTGTGAGCTTCTGTTTCCCTGCAAAGGACGAAACAGAAGCTCACGAAAGAAAAAGATCTTACCTTCTGCTGCGCTGCCGATGTTGGGATGTGCCCTGCCTCCCGCTGGTCAGCTGGTTTTCTTGTCTTTGCTGCGCATCCATGCATGTCCCTCGCAGGCACACATTCGTGCATGTTCTGCACATGCACATATCCGCACATGCGCAGGTTCACGCATGTGTGCAGCTTTCAGTTTGGGCATGGGTTTGGGCACTCGGTGTCTGAAAGGTTCGCCATCCCTGCCGTACGACAACCTCAGAACCGGTTCTGTTTCATACAGTGTGCAGGAGACTGGTTGAGCTCTTGGAGGCTTAACCGTTGAAAGGGACTTTGGAGGTCTTCTAGTCCAATCCCCTAGGAAACCCTAGACCAGTGATGGAGAACCTTTTGGCACCGAGTGCCCAAACCAGAGCACCGGAAACTTGAAGACCAGCTGGACTTTGCACGCACTCTGACTAGTCTTTAGGTTTCCAGCACTCCGGCGCGCATGAAGACCAGCTGTCTGGCGCGCATGCACCTGCCAGAAACAAGAAGAGTAGCTGGCGATGGCGCGCATGCCCACAGAGAGGACTCTGTGTGCCACCTCTGGCACGCATGCCATAGATTTGCCATCAAGGCCCTAGACCCGTGATGACAAACCTATGGCACCTTTGGGCATATCTATGGACCCACAAATGTTGCCCTAGCTCAGCTCCAGCACGCATGTGTACGGCGGCCAGCTGATATTTGGGCCTTTCAGGCCCACCGGAAGTCAGGAAACAGGCTATTTCCAGCCTCCGGGGTGGGGAGGCTGTTTTCACCCTCCCCAGGCTCCTAGAAAGCCTCTGGAGCCTGGGGAGGGCAAAAAGCAGGCCTACTGGGCCCACCCTGCTATCATGTGCCAAAAGCAGAGGGAGCACGGGGGGATGGGGGGTGGTCATGCGTGCATGCACATGGGGGCGGGTCGCATTGAATTATGGGTGTGGGCATGCACGCACGTGACCCTCCCACGTTTCCCCCCCACTTTTGGCACGCGGCAGCAAAAAGGTTAGCCATCACTGCCTAGGACCAGGGATGGCGAACCTTTTGGCACCGAGTGCCCAAACCGGAGCACCGGAAACCTGAAGACCAGCTGGTCTTTGCACACACTGTGGCTGGTCTTTAGTTTTCCAGCGCTCCGGTGTGCATGAAGACCAGCTGGCTGGCACACATGCACCTGCCAGAAACAAGAAGAGCAGCTGGCGATGGTGCGCGTGCCCACAGAGAGGGTTCGCCATCAAGGCCCTAGACCAGTGATGGCTAACCTTTTTCTCGTTGTGTGCCGAAAGAGCGCGCAACAGCACACACCCATGTGCCTGCACCCACAATGCAATGCGTGCCCCCTGCAGATGTGCGAACGACCCCCCCACATACACCCTCAATTGGTGACCGCTGGAATAGGAGACCTCCAAGGTCCCATCCGGCCCTACGATTCTAGAACTCTACCAACGCCTGCTTCACCACCCTTTTCCTCTCTGTGCGTTGCACTGCACCGCAACAGCATGGGAGAAATAATTTATTTCAAGCGGTACCAAAGAACCGACTCGAAAATGCCATTCGGCTAGCAAAGGAAACACCCCATGCGAGGGCCACCCGCTCTTCGCCAGCGCAGCTCCTTCTGAAGCTGGACAGATAGTATTTCTCTCTCTCTCTCTCCCTCCCAGAGATGTCGCTTGATGTGGCTTCATTTGCCAGAGGCAAGTGGAGAAATAAAACAGCCCTTGATCATTAAAGGTTCTGTACGGTTAGTTATTAATAAGTCTGGGATCTGGCTTCTCCCAAAACAGCCAGAGCCTGGCAGGCAGGCTAGCTCTGAAAAGCTATTTCTGGCAGAGACGAGGATAGAGACATGAAACATCTATCCAGTGGAGCTTGGGGTCTTTTTATTTACAGGCCCCCAAAGCACTGTGGGTCTGAAACAAAAAGTTATGCGAGTCCTTTTTTTTTTTTTTTTTCAGCCAGGAGTTTGGACCAGGCATGAAATCCAGCAGGTTCTGACAGGTTCTGAAGAACCGGTAGCGGAAATTTTGAGCAGTTCGGAGAACTGGCAAATGCCACCTCTGGCTGGACCCCGAGTGGAGTGGGAATGGAGATTTTGCAGTATCCTTCCCCTGGAGTGGGGTGGTAATGGAGATTTCGCAGTATCCTTCTCCTATCATGCCCACCAAACCACGCCCACCAAGTCACGCCCACAGAACAGGTAATAAAAAAATTTGGATTTCACCACTGGTTTGGATTCATACTTTTGTTGGGCCCTGCGGGAGGGGTGGCCATGCGATGTGAACCGTGTTGGAAATACAGGTTAATCCTTGATTTACCACCACAATTGTGCCCCCTAATTGTTGTTGCTAAGTGGGTTTTGCCCCATTTTGTGACTTTTCTTGCCATGGTTGTGTCAGTGAATCGCCGAAGTTCTTAAGTTAAGAACATGGTTGTTAAGTGAATCTGGCTTCAGGGGGCACCAGGCTCATTTCTGTTCCTGTGGTCAAAGGAGCCAGCGTTCTCCGAAGACAATTTCTGTGGTCATGTGGCCAGCGTGGCTATACTGTAGTCTTAATCTGATCACTGTAATCTTCTCACTGAAAGTGGTACCTATTTATCTACTTGCATTTGCAATGCTTTCAAACTGCTAGGTGGGCAGGAGTAAGGAACGGGAGCTCACCCGTTGTATGGCGCTTGGGTCTTGAGCCCAGGCTGTCAGTCTTGTTCTGACCTAGGCTCCCTTAAAAAGCATGAAGCAGAGTCTTGGTCCCAGCAAAACCCCTTTTATTTACATGACGGTGAATTCCTTTCATTCACAGTCAGCAAGGCTTGGCAGTCTTTCAGAGGAATATTTATCAACACAAACCTTATCTTGCTTGGAAACCTGCCAGATACCTAGTTTCCAAACGCAGAGTAAGGCAAAATTTGGCATAGATTCTGTTAGAGTCAGGAACAGAACTTTCCACTCTTGAAAACAAACAAACAAACAAACAAACAAATTGTTTCCTGCAAAAGCCCACTCCCCGTTCACTCCTCTTTTGTTTCCTATGGGAGGGGCCAATCACCTCCAAGATGTGGCTTTACTCCCAAATTTACCCTGCTTTCTTAGTTGCTCTTGTCTTTTGGCAGCTCTGCGCATGCACACACTGGGAACAGGCTCCAGCTGTTCCTCTGCCTCACTGCTGTCTATATCCCTCTCTGCCTCCGACGCAGAGCCCTCATCCGAATTTTCCCCAGCCCCCAGGACCGGCCCATGTTCCTCCCCAACCTCCTCACTGTCTGACTCTGACCCCAGTGGGCCACAACAAATCTTTAATCGCTGAGCCATCGTAGCCTTTTAAAGGAAACTACTCAGGAGTATTCTATGTGGCATTCTGGGGGCCTGGCAATGTCAGGACAGGTAACTAAGCCAGAGTTGCGTGTGTAAAAGCAATACCGATCTGTGCTAGGAGCAACTGCTGACAAACAAGAGGTGCGGGTGTCAACTCACCTCTTGACAGAAAGAGACAATGTTCTCCCAAAGGGCTTTGGCCTCGCCCTCGTCCGTCTGCCGCCGCTTCTCCACGTGCATGCTCTCGCGCCGCCGTAGCGGCTTGATGCCCCTGCGCTGCGCCATGTAGACTTGAGGAGTGTGGCAGGCGAGGCAGTGCTTGGCCTTCAGCTCGTTGAGTAGTGTGCAAGCAGGGCACGCCCACTGGCTGGCTCGCTCAGGGGTGACTGGGGGTTGCAAGGGGAAGAGGCGGGCTACTTTGCGGGCGGAAGGAGCTCGGGTGCCACAAGCTGTACACCTGCCTTTGTCCGAGCCACATTCGGGGCACTTGGGAGCCAGGTCTGGTTGCAAGCTATGTTCCTGGAAGCCGTGAAGTTTGGAGGAGCCGCAGGCTTTGCACTTCTGGGAAGCGGTGGGGTTCTTCAAGGTACACTTGGAACAGGACCAGGTGGTGAAGTCGGGGCTGGAGGGTCCACAAGGTGTAAAACGAACGGAGTCCCCCGTCAGGTCGATAGTGTCACTGCCCTTCTGGCTGCTGCAAGCCTCGCAGGCCTCACTCCCCGAGGTGTTGAGCAGGGAACAGGTGCTGCATTGCCAGGGCGGCACGCTGACGTCCATCTCTTCCTCCAGCACGCTTAGCCGCTTGGTCGCTATCATTTCCTGGAAGCGAATGGCCTTCTGCACGGGGGTTGGCGGAGAAGCCGGTTGGGCAGCTTCAGGAGCCGGGGGCTGGAGTTGGGGGGGCACCTCTCGGCGGCTACGAGGAACGGGGTTGTTCTGGAGACCTGGGGAGAAAAGGCTGAAGGCTGGCATCTTCTGGCTCTCTTCCTCCACAAGGGTGGTGCCTTGATTGACGGCTGGGTGGCCCTCCGGGGTCTCGGTGGCGGGAGCTATCTGGAAACCAGCGGGAGTGATGATTTCAGGGACCACCAGCGCCTCTGGAGGGATCTTGGGCAGGGAGAGCTTGCGGGGGCCCCCGCAGGCCGAGCAGGAATTCGCGACGGGGGTGTTGTGGAGGGTGCAACGTTGGCAAGCCCAGCCCTCCTCCAGCTCTGCCTCTTCGGGGCTCTTCCCCCCCGAATCCTCAACGGGGCTCTCCATCTGGGGCGTCTCCTCCTTGCTACTGGCTTTGGGTTCTACTAGGACGGTGGGCTTTGGCAGGACCCCATTGAGGATTGGCAGAGGGGAGCCCCCCGGGCCGGGTTCGGGGGTAAAGCCGCACACCTCGCAGGCCTCTTTGCCCACAAAGTTCCGGAAGGTGCATCGGGCGCAGGCCCACTTCTGCTCTTCCACGCTCAGGCGCAAGATGTGATTGAGGTCGGGCTTCTGGCGGGGGGCCTCGCAGATGGAGCATTGGCGCTGTCCGACGGGGTTCAGGAAAGTACAGCGGGTGCAGGACCATTCCCGCACAGTGGCCATAGAACCAGAAGAGTGGGTGTGGCTGAAAGAGAAGAAGGAGGGAGAGGGTCGTTAAGAGGACACAGCGAAAAGGATCCCACAAAGGAGGAGAGACGCATCCTAATCATCACAATTGACTTCAAAGGTGGGGTACCAGCAGGGGTGAAATCCAAAAATTTTTCCCTACTGGTTCTGTGGGTGCAGATTGGTGGACGTGGCAGGGGAAGGATATTGCAAAATCTCCATTCCCACCCCACTCCAGGGGAAGGATATTGCAAAACCTCCATTCCCTCCCCTCCTGGAGGAAGAATATTGCAAAATCTTCATTCCCACCCCACTCTGGGGCCAGCCAGAGGTGGTATTTGCCAGTTCTCCTAACTACTCAAAATTTCCGCTACCGGTTCTCTAGAACCTGTTAGAAACTGCTGGATTTCACTACTGGGTACCAATGACCCTAAAGATAGTTCTGGACTCCCAGCAACTCCAGCCAGTTAGCAATGAGGGGGTGAAAGTTAAGTGGCATTTCACCGCTATCTCCCAGTTTCCCCAATCCAATTTACAGGTTGAGATCTACAGAGGAGAATATTTGTAGCTCAGGGTTGACATGAGGGGGTCCTTGGTGCTTTCTGAATTGGGTGCTTTTCTTGCAAACATTTCATTACCCAACGAGGTAACATCATCAGTGCTCTGGTGATGTTACCTCGTTGGGTAACGACAATGTCTGCAAGTAAACCACCCAGCTCAGAGAGCACCAAGGACCCCCGTAAGACGAGATCTAGCAAAGCTGACTTTTGATGGTGACATTTCTGGAAACATCCACACATCAAAGATCCTCCTGCCTGCAAAACTTTCTTAGAGTAACCCCGCGCAATCCTCCACACAGCAGTTATTGAACGCCATACAAATGTCTGCTGTAGTTCATGCACATCCTTCAAGTAAACCTTTTAAAGCACACCAGTTATTCTTCTGAAGAAAGAACCAAACTGAGATAACAGGCAGCCACTAGCAACTTTGGGAAGGAAGGAAATTTCTGATAAGCCCCCCCCATGCCCCAGCACCTTAGCAGCTCTGTAGCCACTGTCTATCCCACCTTGAAGAGAGAGTAAAGCCTCTCTCTATCCCGAGAACCAGTGGTGAAATCCAATTTTTTTTTTTTTACTTCTGTGGGCGTGGCTTGGTGGGCATGGCAGGGGAAGGATACTGCAAAATTTCCATTCCCACCCCACTCCAGGGGAAGGATACTGCAAAATCCCCATTCCCTCCCCACTCCTGGGGGAAGGATATTGCAAAATCTCCATTCCCACCCCACCCTTCATTCCCTCCTGCCAGCCAGAGGTGGGTATTTGCTGGTTCTCCAAACTACTCAAAATTTCCACCACCGGTTGTTTTTGGGGGCAAGAGGCTGACTCTGTAAACCTTTTAGAGAGGGCTGTAAAGCACTGTAAAGCGGTATATAAGTCTAAGTGCTATTGCATTCCATTCCATTCCAATTTTCTATTCTATTAAGCCTCCAAAAGGCAAATTATTTCTGCCTAGGTGATGACACGCTTCTTTGCAACGAAGGCTGTAATCTAGCTGAGCTATTATTCTGGAAGTCTTCTGCTACGTTAAGTCTATTTCAGAATAGGGATCTGGAGAGTTGGACTCATGGGGAATGTGGGCAGGTGAGGGCTAAGGTGATCCCACCTGTCAGCGCATGCGGGAAAGTGGGAGCTGAACTCAGAAGCAGGTTTGCGGCCCATGAATGCGAGACCAACACACGAGCCTTTGCAAACCAGCGTGCTGCACGGAACGCATTTGGAGAATCGCTGATTTAACTATTTTAAGATTAAATTTTCCCTGGACATTTCCAAACGGCGTTTATAAAATGTGTGTACGATCGCCAAATGCATTGATTTTTTTTTTAAAGGAAAATTACCTAGCAGATTAAGCCACCATAAAAGCAAGAAATGACACCTAATTTCCATTTGCGCTCCCAATGAAAGATGGCAACCTATAAAACTCTACAGTTATTTCTTTCTGCGTGCTTGCAGAGGAGAGAGAAATAATAATAATAATAATTTTTTTAAAAATGTGCAGAAAAGAAGGAAACGCCACCATCACCTGCCATCCCAGCAATTTGAGAAAATAAGGGAGGGGTTGCAATTAACTGTTCTGGGCATTTTATGGCACTTCCGGCCACATCCTGCATGTGAGGTCATGCACTGGACAGGGATTATTGAGAAGGTGACTGCTTCCCCCACCCCCCACCCCCCAATTTATTTATGTCTGTCTGTGCTTGCCTACAGACAGGCATTGGTCCTATTATTTTGACCCTCCACAACAGTCTCAGTTTTTCATGTGGCCCCTTTGGGAAAATTAATAGCCCACTCTTGGGCTAATGGCTTGATTTTCCTAGGCAGATTTAACCCAGGGACTGTCAATTGCTGAGCTGTATTCTACGCAGTGGCTTCAGTGGCTAAGACGCTGCGCTTGTCGATTGAAAGGTCGGCAATTCATCGGTTCAAATCCCTAGTGCCGCGTAGCGGGGTGAGCTCCCGTTACCTGTCCCAGCTTCTGCCAACCTATTGGATGGATAATTTAAGTGTCAGCAGGCAACAGCCTCTGACTAGCCCCCTTTGGGCTTAGAGCTAAATAGCCCTACGTTTGTGTCATATGGGGATGGGGTGGCTCAGTGGCTAAGATGCTGAGCTTGTCGATCGAAAGGTCGGCAGTTCACCGGTTCAAATCCCTAGTGCTGCGTAATGGGGTGAGCTGCTCCCGTGACTTGTCCCAGCTTCTGCCAACCTAGTAGCTCGAAAGCAAGTAAAAAATGCAAGTAGAAAAATAGGGACCACCTTTGGTGGGAAGGGAACAGTGTTCCGTGCGCCTTTGGCGTTGAGTCATGCCGGCCACATGACCACGGAGACGTCTTCGGACAGCGCTGGCTCTTTGGCTTTGAAATGGAGATGAGCACCGCCCCCTAGAGTCGGGAATGACTGGCACATATATGCAAGGGGAACGTTTATCTTTACCTTATTCTACATGCACACGAGAACACCAGACCAAATTATTTTCTCTAGCAGAGCACAGAAAGGTAGGAGACCGACTTTTTCAATACCACAAGAGCAATCCACACAACTCAAGTGTCTATGGAAATCCATCCATCATCCAGGTCATGGTATGTCCCAAAGATGCTTTTCGCAAAGACAACTGGATTTTCTTGGTTTTTGTTTTTGTTTTTTCGTTGAAAACGTTTCGCTTCTGAAGACATTTCTCAACTAGCAGCACCATCAATGCTCTGATGATGTTAATGAAACATCTGCAAATAAACCACCGAGCTCAGAGAGCACACCACGGAATTCACAAGATGAGATCTAGCAAAGCTGGACACGCAGCTGAACTAGGGAAGATGGATGTAGGATCCATCTGAAGAACTGAAGAAGCTTCTAAGGCAGGGGTCAGCCACATGTGGCTCTTTCATCTTTCTGCTGTGGCTCCCTGTGGCTGGTCGGCTCCACAATTGATAGGGCTTTCAGTTAGGACAGGTAGAGGAAAAAGGACGCCGCACTAGGAGAAGGCTCTATGGTGGGGGAACTGGACTTCCAGTTGGCAGAGGAAAAAGGACGCCGTGCTAGGAGGAGTCTCTATGGTGGAGGAACTGGACTTCCAGTTGGGTCCAGAATTGAATGGGGGGTTTCCGGTTAGGACCTTTGTGGCTCTTTGGGTGTTTATGGTTGCCGACCCCTGTTCTAAGATGAGAAGTGAAATGTTTTCAAAGAAAAAAAGAGAAGAAAGTCCAGTTGCTTTTTGGAAAAGCATCTTTGGGACACCCAGCTCAGTACTGCAAACACTGCTGGGCACTGCCAGCAGTGCCTAAAGCGCCAAGTGCCCTAAACAGCGACGACTTCACACTGTTCCTGCTGATGTCTGACAACTTTCAAGTTTAGAATAAACTTCAGGATCAAGAACTGTGTAGATAGGGATGCACGAAGTGAGTCTCTTCCCTCCTCCTCAAAGATGTTGTTGAACTGCAACTCTCAACATTCTGTGCCACTGGCTATATTGGTAAGAACTACAAGGAATTGCAGTTCCACAACTTCTGGAAAGCTGTACGTTTCTACTCATGCTTCAGGATGAGGAGGCAAGAATCTTAATTTGATTTGTTTGTGGGGGAGCTGAGGTAAAGTGGTAGGAAAATCCTTTCCTGCTCAAAAAAAAAATAAAAGGCAGGGGAGGTAGGGGAAGAACTGATGTAACCATGCCCGCTGGCTTTTTGGTGTCAACCTTCACCCCCAATTCCCTTCTCTCCATCCTTCTTCCTGCCATTTTTAAAAATGTTTATTTATTTCTATGTATTCCACTTTATTATTTCTATAAATAACTCAATGTGGCACACTTTCCATCTCCTATTTTCTCAACAACAACCCTGCGAGGTGAGTGGGGAGGGAGGGGGAGAGAGAGAGAGAAGAGAAAGAGAGAGGAGAGAGAGAAGAGAGAGAAAGAGAGAGGAGAGAAAGAGAGAGAGGAGAGAGAGAGGGAGAGAGGGAGAAAGAGAGAGAGAGAGAGAAGAGAGAGAGAAGAGAGAGAAAGAGAGAGAAGAGAGAAAGAGAGGGAAGAGATAGAAAGAGAGAAGAGAGAGAGAGAGGGAGGGAGGGAGAGAGAGATTGGCATAAAGTCACTCAACAGACTTTCATGTCTAAGGCGGGACTACAACAGTCACAGTGATGATTGGTCCAAAGTTATCCAACCAACTTTCATATCTAAAGTGGGACTAGAACTCCCAGTCTCCTGGTGGTTGGCCCAAAGTCACCCAGCTGGTTTTCATGCTTAAGGCAGGACTAGAAATTCACTACCTCCTGATTTCTAAGCCTGGTGCCTTCACCATTAGACCAAACTGGCTTCTTTTTCCTCATCTTCCCCCTTTACTGTTTTCTAAAGAACCTCTTTCTTCTCTCTACCTTCTCATCTCCAGTTGCTCAATTGCTTTCAAACCCCAAGGTGCTGCTGGCCTAGTTACAAGATCTTGCTGCCTGCCACACGCAACCTTGTCTGACTACATCA